TCATATCGTTGGCACTGGAACTACCATGTTTTATAATAATCACCTTGTTTATATGATTTTTCCATCAGACTGAATTCCTTCAGAATAAAGTCAGTACACTGCTGATCTTTATATCCATACCACCAAAGACAATGCTTGGCACATAACAGATGTTCTGTAGTTTCAGAGTGGACAAATAAACGGATTTAAACCAAATCAAATACCATTTTAATGCTGTTCCTTTTAACATCCTTAGGTTTAATATTAATGACAATTATGGACTTCTATTTTTTTCTTCCTTTAGGAGTTCTGTTATGTTTCTAATGTATACATTTCAAGGTAGTTAAACTTTGTTTTTAAATAACGTATGCTGGTTCTAGAAATTTTGAAAAAAATATGAAGAAATCAAACTTCACATTTTACTAGTATATAGGAATAAAATTCTAATTTTACTTTATTATAGATAATATCATGATGAACATAATCATAGGTTTTCTATCTTTGCCTTCTTTAAATTCTCTTACTTTATTACTTAAGATTGAGCCAGGAGAAAACGATGCTAATATCTATTTGAAACTAAGTTCCAAGCACTTTATATATATTATCTCATGAAGTACACAACCATGAAAGGTATTACTACCTTAAGTTTATGGGTGAAGAAATAAATACTTCAGTTTTAGAGTTTTTAGAAAAACTTTTCAGATCACTTTCTTCATCCATCATCTCACTTAACCTTTATAATAACCCTGTAAAGCATGTGTGCGTGTGTGCGTATGTGTGTGCATGTGTGCACGCATGTAAGTGTGTGTGTGTGTCTGTCTTTGGGGGTTGATTATATATCTAGTAGTTAATTAACTTTCCCTTCTCTTTTCCCTAGCTCTGCAGTAAGCTCCTCTCTTTTAAGGACAATGTTCTCTACCTCTTTGAAAGTTGGTGTGCCTAGCACAGTGACAGACACATGGGGCCTTTAATAGAGACTTCCTGATTTGAGTTAGCATGCAGTGCAGTTATGGGATCAGGTCCTACTCATCTTGCTCTCTTTCTCTGATGACATCTTTTAAAAACTGAGGTAAAGTACATAAAGTGAAATGTACAAATCTTAAGCATACATTTCATGAGATTTGACATATGCATATACCCGTAACTCACACTTTAACACTATAGAACATTTCTATCACTCCATAAATTTTACATGTGCTCCTTCGCAGGCAATCCTTCCAGTCAAATTAAAAGGCTAATTTCTAAAAGCCATGCTATTTGCTTACTGTTTTATATCTACACTCTTTGTCTTGGAGAATCCACTCTCACTGCATCAGCTGACATCTACATGAGGATGGCTGCCCAGTCCTGATCTCACTGAACACTAAATATTCTGTTCTCCGGTTGCTCCCAGACATTTCCTGTCCTGAAGGTTACCACTTCAAACTTAATAAAATGTGTTCAAAACTGAATTTTTTTTTTTTTTTTTTGAGACAGAGTCTTGCTCTGTCGCCAGGCTGGAGCACAATGGCGCAATCTCAGCTCACTAAAACCTCTGCCTCCTGGGTTCAAGCGATTCTCCTGTCTCAGCCTCCCAAGTAGCTGGAATTAAAGGCACGTGCCACCACACCCAGCTAATTTATGTATTTTTAGTAGAGAAAGGGTTTCACCATATTGGTCAGGATGGTCTTGATCTCTTGACCTCGCGATTTGCCCACCTCAGCCTCCCAAAGTGCTGGTATTACAGGTGTGAGCCACCGCACCTGGCCCAAACTGAATCTTATACCCCAAACTAGCTTCATTTATAAGCTTATTTATTTCTGGCACCAATGCTTGAAACCTTAGAATCATTTTTAAATTGCTTTCTTCTTTTATCTCATAAGCTTTATTGCTTTTTCTTCCCCCACCTCCCATTCCCATTGCTAATATTTATCCTTCAAAGTCCAGCTCATATTCCACTTCTTTGACCAAAGTCTTTCCTAACCACTGCTCATGAGCTCACTATTATATGAATTTAAAGACTAGTATGTCTGTACAATTTATTAAAACTTATTACATATGACCTAATGATATCTCTTCCATTAGCTATTTTTTCGAATCCTATTTAATATTTTATGCATTTGCAGTCCTCCAGGTTAACCCTACATTATGCACTGGGGCTCAATTTGTACTAATGAAATGATTTGTTTGCCTAAAGTCACATAGCTAGTTGGTGGCATGGCAGGGACCAGAACCAGCACTATTTCATTACTGATGCATATATATTATGTGTGAAGCTAACAAAATATTGCCTGATTATCCCTCTAACTTTAGTTGTTGGTAACAGAACATCAATAGTTCATGTTCTGAAAGAATATGAATAGTTGGCTTCTTATTCCACTAAGAATATGGACTTCTTAGTCCATAAAGACTAAGAATAGTCTTTATTCTTAAAGACTAATAGCGGACTTCATGTGTAAATAGTCTTTCTTTATAGGCCCTACCATTCAGTTAGTTTTGTTCAATTATAATAACAGAACCAGCAGGAGTTCTTCAAGGTAGCATGGTGCAGTGAGTAAGACAGGTGTAGAGCCAGGGCAAGTAACTTTTTCTCTCTGTGCCTCAGTGCTGTCATCTTTAAAATGGGAATAATAATACTATCTACCTCAAAGCGTTGTTAGGAGGATGAAATGAATCACTATTTGTAAAGATCCTAAAACATCTACCAGTAAGTGCAACAAAATTTGTTTTATTGAAAATATATAACAAGTATTTGGTACTTAAGTTTACAAATTAGTTTCATCTTTGATCAATGCATCTATCCAGTAATTAGAGCTGGTGTTATTCACAAAAAGCAAGCTAAGAAGCAAATATTTTCAGTGGCAATTTGCCTAATGCCTGGCTAAGCACATGGCAGAACCTGGTACTTGAACCCAGAATGTGCAACTCCAAATTGAACAGCTTTCTGCTTTGCTGATTGGGGTAGTGCTTTGTTCACCTCTTTGGTCATTGATAAGTATCAGTGTGTGCAACACCTGTGTCTACCCACACACTGGAAGATAAATTGATTGATTCTCCTATTAGTGACATCGTTGCAGTCTAAGTGGGCTTGTCAGCAACTACTACCAAGTAGGAGAGAAAATAATGTGAAGAGGTAAGAAGTCGGGAATGGGGATGAGTAAACATAGAAAAAACTAGCTCAATTATATTTACAGACATGTTTCTTGCCATATTGCTCAATAAGATAAAGATTATTTTGAGTTTCCAGTGTGAGAGATCTTTCCATAGTCGAATTTGCATGCTAGGCCTTCAATTAGATTATAAGACCCTCAGAGGCAGTTTGAAAAACTGCTGCACCACTAAATCAAGGACTTCTTCCAAAGTGAAGGCTCCTCCATCCAAGCTTTCTTATCACTGGGCTCAAGGTTCAAAGCCAGTAGAAAGTTTTCTTATTGAAGACTGAAACCACCCACCACCTTCCCTGGTTAATCATAAAAGAAGCGTTATTCTAAAAAAACTCCAGTTCTTGCTGGGACAGCTATTGACCCAATTTGTATACAAATGTGACACTTTGAACCTCTCTGGTTTAGTATTTGATAGCCCAACAGGGTGACTATATTCAATAATGATTCAGGCTGGGTGCAGTGGCTCCAACCTGTAATCCCAGCACTTTGAGAGGCCAAGGCGGGAGAATCAGTTGAGCCCAGGAGACTGAGACCACCCTGGGCAACACAGTGAGACACGTTTCTAGAAAAAATAGAAAAAAGTCAGCCAGATGCGCGCCTGTAGTCCCAGCTACCCAGGACCTGAGGTGGGAGGATTGCTTGACTCGGGGTTGGCGGCTGCAGTGAACCGTGTTCCCACCACTGCACTCTAGCCTGGGAGACAGAATGATACCCTGTCTCAAAAAAAAAAAAACAAAAAACAAAAAAAACAAAAAACAAAAAAAAACAAACAAAAAAAACACTTGTACATTTAAAAATAACTAAAAGAGTAACTGGATTGTGGTTGAATGCTTGTGGTGATGAATATCTCATTTACCCTGATGTAATTATTACACATTATACACCTGTATCAAAATAGCTCATATACCCCATAAACATACACACCTACTATGTACCCACAAAAATTAAAAATTAAAAAAGAAAGTCTCTTTGGTTCACTCAGTCCACCACCCGTATTAGAATGTAAGACAGTTTTTTTTCCTTGGGAAAAGTGTCCGACAGAACCAAGGCTCGGTAAAGGATAGTAACAATGTAATAATATTAACAAACATCTACTGAGCTTTAAATATGTAGCAGGCACTGTGCTGTGCACTTTATGTGCATTATCCAAATTCACTCTCAGTAATTCCAGGAGTTCCTATTACCGGGGTCTACGTAAGAGGAAATGGTGGTTGACGGCAATTTCCGAATGCCCCACACTAGAAAGTGGACCAGCAACCAGGGTTGCAGATCCCAAGTCCGGAATCTTCACCATTTCACCCAACCGCCTTAGAGGCCTCCCAGCAAAGGGTCTAAGCACGAATGCTCCAGAAAACAAGTCCAGGTCACGCGTGCCTTCTCCCCTTCCCTCTGGGCTCGATACTGGTGCACAGAGCGACTCGGGAGTGGGGGCCGCGGTTACTTCATTAGAAAAGCTCTGAAGCCCCGGGAGCCCTTCGTCCCAGGCGCACTTGCCCTGCAAACCCTTCTGGAAGGCGGCAGCGTCCAGGCGGTCCAGCGCGTCGAGCCGCGCCAGGCGCACCGAGATGCCCCCGAATCTGTCCAGCTCGCCCTGCAGATCGCACGTTCCAACTGGGGGATTCCGCACGTAACCCTGTGAGCCCGAGACCCCGCGGTAACCCGCCGAAGGCCCAGGGCTGTACGTCCGGGCAAACACCGCGCGCCAGCCGGCCCAGCTCAGTAGCGGCCGCATCTTCACGCTGCCTCATTCGCCCGATGCCCAAATGACCCTTCCGCGCGCCGGAGCGGAGATCGCGGCCGTACATTTTAGAAGAGTGCCATCAATTCCCTCAGAGTTGAGCTGGGGTTACCACTCTGCAGAGCTATGCCAAGAAGACTGCGAAGTTGTCCACCAACCCCTCTCAGCAATTTGTCCCGCTCCAATTAAGCGGGGAAAACCTCCTCCCCCACCGCCACCCACTTATTTTGTTTGGTAGTTTAATTCAATAGACGTTGGTTTAGGAATGGGGAAGCCGGGAGGAGATGCAAAAACGTCCTGTTTTTCAGGAATTTACAATCTAAGTGGCAGTTCCGTTCCCGGAACCTATCGTCTTTCGCAGACGCCGTTCTAGCTGTTCCAAAGATTGCTGGTTTTGAAAACACTCAGTCCCTCCCACCACGCTGTCCGCTGCTGCGCTCCACTCTGGGGATTACGGCGCAGGGGCGGAACCTCGCTGACTTCTGCCCCGGAAGTTTTTCTCTCAGTGGAAGCGTGCACGTTGAGTCGGCTTTCCTACTGCTTCGGCCAGGCTGCCTTGGGATCATGTCTTCCAAGAAGAACAGAAGGCGGCTGAACCAAAGCGCGGAAAATGGTTCGCCCTTGCCCTCTGCTGCTTCCTCTTGTGCGGTGGCACGGGTTCCTTCTGCTGGATCAGATTTAGCGGCAGCCGCCGGGACTCTGACGGTGACCAACTTCTTAGAAAAGGGTAAAGAACTCCAGGAGGGAGACTAGAGGCCGAGGGGCGCAACCTCAGGGGAGGGAGACTCAGTGATACTGACTTGGGGTGCAGAGACTTTTGAAATTTGGGCGTGGCATGGGTCTGAATGCGGTACCGAAGCGTGTAAGACTTCTGTATGCAAGAAGCATGCAAACGTAGCCGCGCCTGCACTGGAGAAGTTGGGCTGAAATGGTTTATCCGTACCCAAGGTGTCTCTTGTAAATTAATTTGATTTTTTAAGTTGCACTTGAAACGCTTTGTCTCCTTTAACATTAACGACATATTTAATTGCAAAATTTTTCGTAACTAGCTAACATGGGATACTTATCCTAAAAAACTAAATAACCAATAAAGTAAAAATGTGGATCACTCTGCCTTTAGGAGTAATGATATAGCATTTTCTTCCTGTACTACACAGGTTATGATATTTAATAACTGCTAGTAACTGCACACTGGTGTTAGCAGTATATATAGCTCATCTAATTTCTACAGAAGCCGTGACCGATGGGTATAGTAATGACCGTTTTATAGGGGAAGGAAAGGCAACGTGATTCCATTCAGGCTACACAGGTACTAAGAGGTAGAGCTGATATTTGAGTCTAGATGTGTTTGACTTCAAAGCCTTTGTCCCAGATGACAGCTCCCTTGATTTGGGAGAACGAATTTATACTTAAAAGTCTTATAAATTGAATTATAAATTGAAATTTTATATTTGATGTGTAATAGCTTTGAACAATGGACCAGACTAAACTAGTGGCAACATTTTTTATGTCTAATCAGACCTTAAAGACGATTTAGAGTTCACATGGTATTTTCATTCTTCCTTAGGTATGGGAGGACAACTTGTTCTGTCCTGAAGGTTCAACTTGTTTTTGAACTAGATCCTTCCCATTGACATCTAAACATGCTCATTTCTCTTCCACTTTAAATCAGAACAAAAGCTCCACATTTTCTTCCTGCAACCATCTTTCTGTCCATTGCCAAACTTCTAAAATGGAGTGGTCTCTGCCGCCTCATCACTTACATACTCTCCTTAGCCTATTCCTCTTTGACTTCCACCCCGTGATTCCATGGAAACTGTTCCTGGTGTGGTCTCCGAGCATCTCCATGTTGATAAACCTTACTTGACCACAGCAACTTTTGGTATTTTTGACCATTTCCTCCTTCTTGAAACACTTAACTTATTTGTTGTCAAACTTGCCTAGTTTTCTTCATCTTTGTTGATGTTTCATCATTTTCCTTTGCAGGCTCGTCCTCTTCCCTTGACCATTAAATGTTGAAGTTTGTCAATTCTTACTCCAAAACCTTTTTTCCCTCTCAGTAAATCCTGTCTCCCTAGCAAGTTCATCCAGTGCCCAGAGTTTCTCATCCATAGTCTCTTCAGTGTCAGATTTATATTTGTAAGTCTTTTGTTTTTGCGCCTTGATATAGTTGTCTTTTAGCCAAGTGCTTCTCAAGCTCTCTGTGGTGAAGACTTTAACATTTACAATAGGTCACAGGTCGGCATTTTTGTAAAATACAGTCAAAATGATTTTCTAGAAAAATAAGGAAAAAATTTTATTAAACAGATGTGAAATTATTCTGCAAATTTCAATAAAAGCTTCTAAACACTTATTCTCATGTTTTGCACTTGTCATGAAGCACTGACAAATCATTGTGGGCCATATTTTGAATATGGTGCTGTACAATCACTCTTCTCATGAGTGTCTCAAAGATACTTCGGGACTATCTTCATGAGCCTGCATTTCCTCCAACAAAACAAACTTTCATTTTGTTCAGTTTTTTGCATTGCAAAATTCAGAAATGTAAGAGTCATCCATGACTCTCTCCCTCCATATCTCACATACCTAGTTCACCACTAAATCATGTTTATTACCTAAATATTTTACATATTCCTCTTCTACATGCCATTCCCACTGTTTCTACCTTAATTTCAGATGCCATCATCTCTCACCTGGACTGCTACAACAGCCTTTTAGTTGATTTTCCTGCTTCCAGTTTTGCCCCTTACTCGTTTTCTATTCTACAACCAGAATGATCTTGTAAGATGCAGATCTTGTCATGACATTGCTTTTCATCCCTTTCTGAACTCCCATTGCTGTCAGAGTAATGACCAGCATCTTAATGCAGCCTGTTGCACTATTGTCCTGGGTGGTCTTGACCTTCTTTACATGGCTTCCCTATGTTTCCACCACTCTGCCTATACTCTCCTGAGGATGCGCCATACCACCTTCTGCCCAGGAACTTTGTACATGCTGTCTTCTTTGCTGAGAATTATCTTTTTCTTCTCTTCATTTAGTTAGTTCCTACTCTTCTTTCAGACCTGATTTTAATATCACTTCCTTTGAGAAACATTCTCATATTCGAAATCAGGTCAGATCCCACATTATAGGCTCTCCTGGCACTCTAAGTCATTTTTTCATTGTATTAATCTTAGTTTATAATTTTACAGCTATTCACTGATTGCTTAATAACTCACTCATCCTACAAGGCTATAAACTCTGTGAGACCAAGGACTTGTGAACAAAAGTGCCTAGCATAGTATCTGCCATGTAGTAGGCACGTAGTACTTATTTGCTGAATGAGTAAATGAAGGGTGGATGGTTGTTTGAAATTATCTTTACTATCTTGTTAATCTGATACTTAAGGTGCTCAATCAATGTGAAAGTAGTTAATGGGGAAATTAGATGTTGACATATTTTTTAAAGTATTGGAGGAGTGAGGTGAGAAGGGAACTCTGTGGACAACTTGAGTAGACCTGTGTAGTGTAAGCAGAGAACACAGTGGTGATGTTTTGGAAAATGAGACTGGTGGATGGGAATTTGAACATGATTACCCTTGAAAGAGAAGGTGGAGAATAAATCCTGGGGCATGGAGAATGTGCTGGATAGGGTGGAAGGAGAAGTAGAAAACTAACGTCTTGGGAAGGACTGAGAACACTTGTGTGGTAATTGTCAAGAGGGAAAGGTAGTTCATTGAGGTTTGGGAAGAAAGAGGCAGGAACTGAATATTATGAGATCATCTAATGGCAGTATGCTTTGCTGTTAATGACCAGCAAACTATATAAGATACCTAATGCTCATTGGAAGATTGAATTTCTGTCCAACTTCTCATATTATGCAGTATGTGTTAATTTCATTTTATACTCAGTGCTGTTCATCTTAGCTTTATGAGATGCTTTGTTTTTCTAGATTTGCACCTCTTGTAAGAAGAAAAAGAAACGTGTTGGGGAGTTATTTTGTAGTGACAGAATAATGTAAATCATATTTGTACCTTATGGTTTTGCTTTCATTGATTTAATTTCTTTTTTATTACAAAATATCTGTTTTCTGATTATTAAGGAAAACTGAGGTAGATCTCTGTGATTATGGTATATATGTTTACAATAAATTTTATAATGAAGTTGTGACATTTTTAAATTACTTAAGTGTTTCATGGATTTTGTGCTGAAAAGAAAAACACTGTATACTCATTTACTACATTTATTCATTTTATGGCCATTTATTGTGCAACTGCTACATTTAACGCACTGTAAGCATTGGAGATACAGAGAGAAATAGGACCCAATTCCTGTTTCAAAGCAGTATACAATTAAGGAGAAAGACTAAAACAAATGAATATTATGATAAATGCTATTAACTGGCAGCACAGGGTGCTGGGGGAATTAGAGGAGGGACACCTAGCTAAATATGGAGCTTGGTGGAGGTGGGGTGGATAGGAAGGAGTGGAGATGTCAGCACATCATTTTCAGAGGTGTTGTTAATTGGACTGAATTCTGGACCCCCTTTTCCAGCCAAAAGTTGAAATCACTAGTGGTGATTTCAGTCAGTGTGTTTGTATAAGGAAGACGACTTGTGTTACTATCTTTGTCTATTCTTGGTAATACAGAAGAAGAAGATCGGGTGATGACCATAATGTGGGGCAGAAGTAGAAACATAACTTAATCCTCTACAGCCAGATAGATGTTCCAGTTCCCAGTTCAATCCTTTGAATACTAGTAGCTGACTCAACTTTGAACTTAAAGCTCAGAGACTCTCCTTTGCAATTATGTTCAGTTCTTAAAGAAATTAGAGACTCAGAAAAAAGGAAACCAATGCTCACTCCATAAAACATCTTGTTTTTAGTTAATACTTAATATGTTGCCAGTAGACCCTCAAAAGCATTTGGTTTTAAATCTGTTTGTTATAACAAAAGTTGGAACACTACTTTCTCCAGGGTATGATAAGTACATTCATGTGGTTATATGGTTAGCGTATTTTTATTTACTGCAAAAGAAAGCATGCTTTAACTTCTGTTACAAAGTAGTAAAAAATAATTTTCTTTTCCTTCATAGTAGATGACAGAATTCCTAAAACATTCCAGAATTCCCTTATTCATCTTGGACTCAACACTATGAAGTCTGCAAAGATATGTATAGGTCGACCAGTGTTGCTTACTAGTTTGAACGGAAAGCAAGAGGTAAGAGTCTTTTGCATTTCCTTAGTTTAGAAATAAAGACTGAACATTGCAAATCCAAAAATCTAAACTCTGTAATGCTTTTGAGTGCTGTGGTGGTCAAAGGAAATGCTCATTGAAACATTTTGGATTTCAGATTTGGGATGTTTACCCAGTAAACATAAGGCAAATATTCCAAAATCAAAAATTGAAAATGCGTCTGGTCCTAAGCATTTTGGATAAGGGATGCTCAGCCTGTGTTTGAGATGTTTCTGATTTTAATTTTCAACACAAGCAGGAATAAATGAAAAACTGTATTTTAAAAGACATTAATGTGTGTATTAACTCTCTGTTCCTTTGCTGTCTATGACTCTGCTGGGCATAGTAGCCCCTAAAATGTTATGTAGAGAGAAGTGTTTCCTCCAGCGGTAGTGACAGTATTTCTCCCCGTCAGTTATATTTCTTTATAAAAATATTATTTTGGGGTAAGAAGGTCACCTGTTCTGTATATAAATATTTTACTATTCTCCCTGGTTTCAGCTGTTTCTCCTTGCTGTCATTCTTCATACCTGAGATTCTCAGCCTAGAACCTTTCCTGGATCATTTTTGGCAGCTTGGCTTTCTCCTCTGCTACCAGCCCCTTATCTTTCCTGGCTTCCTTTGATGCTTCTCTGATCTGCTGGGGATCCTCTGGAAATACTTTGAATTTTTTTTGTCTACTGATGGCACCCCTCTTATTCTTTTCATTTTTTCTGGCTTATACTTTAAAGTTCCTTTACTGTGTCTTGTAAAAGAGAGGACTGTAAGTGTGTGAGCTCAAGCTAGAAATTTTCGCTCCCCTCTCTTAACGTTTAAATTTGATAAGACCCAGGTTCTGGCAAAGCTCTTGTTTTGTGTCCCTCACTATGTCCTGGATGTAGTTTAATTTCCAGGCTGAATTACTTTACAAGTTATCTTGCCTTAATATTTTTGTCATTTCCTCATTATTACCTGTTAATGCCTTTATTTTTTTTCATATATCTTTCATATCTTCTACTGTCTTCACTGTGGAATCATTCTTGCTCTTTAGAAAAAGATGTAATATTATTAAAAAGTTTATTTTTCATGAGCCCTTATAGTATTTAAATTTTTTTAAAAATGCAATGTATCTTACTGCAATTGGTATCAGATTATAACTCTTTTTGGGTAAAGACTGTATTTTGCATATCTAAGTACTTGACTGTCCTTAGCGTTGTACCTTGTAAATTGATGGTATTCTATGAATATTTATTTTCTAACATTTTTATTTCCTCTGTCTGGCAGGTCTATACAGCGTGGCCTGTGGCAGGATTTCCTGGAGGCAAGGTTGGCCTGAGTGAAATGGCACAGAAGAATGTGGGTGTGAGGCCTGGTGATGCCATCCAAGTCCAGCCTCTTGTGGGTGCTGTGCTACAGGCTGAGGAAATGGATGTGGCCCTGAGGTTTGGCTTTTTTCTTTGGTGACTATCTGGATCAAAGCTGCCCAGTGGAAATATAAGAGTCACAAATGTAAACCACATAAGTAATTTTGCATTTTCTTGTAACATTTTAAAAAGAGAGAAACAGGTACAATGAATTATAATAGTATGTTTTATTTAACCAATATATGTAAAAATGTATTTTAACATGTAATTATAAAAAATTACCAATAAGGGCTGGGTGCGGTGGCTTATGCCTGTAATCCCAGCACTTTGGGAGGCCGAAGTGGGTGGATCACTTGAGCTCAGGAGTTCAAGACTAACCTGAGCAATATGGGGAAGCCCTGTCTCTACAAAAAATACAAAAAATAAAATTTCTAGACATGGTGGTGTGTACCTGTAGTCCCAGCTATTTGGGAGGTGGAGACAGGAGGATTGCTTGAGTCTGGGAGGTGGAGGTTGCAGTGAGCTGGGATTGCACCACTGCCCTCTAGCCTGCGTGACAGAGTGAGACTGTGTCTCCAAAAAAAAAAAGTTACCAATAAGATATTTTACATCCTTTTTTTCAAACTAAGTCTTCAAAATCCAGTATGTATGTTACACTTATAGCACATCACAGTTGAGACTAGCCCCATTTTAAGCATTTGATAGCTGCGTGTGCTGAGTGGCTAGTGGTCACTTGTGTTATATTAGACAACCCAAGCTAAATGAGTGCTATATAATTTATAGACTAAGGACTTGTATTTTCCATGATTAGAGTATGCCCTGATATTTTAGGTGAGAGTAGTTTTCATTTAGCAGTGTTTTTCACCTTGATTTGCAGTGTAATCAGGGCTTCTTACAGTTGTAAAGAAAAGAGTAGATTACTGTGAGTCAAACAGAAACAAGTTTTAATTAAGACTATGCAAGCAAAGAACTTGACTGTATATTTTAACTTGTTGATTATTCAGTTTAGTAAAACAAACGGTCGTTACTATCAGATTTTAAAATAATCCCTTACCACAGGCTAATTGTTTGAATCTGCCTATCAAGATAGTTAAGGTATATCGTCCATCCTCCTGGATATTCTGTATCTAATAGGATTTCGACTCAGTTTGCATATACAAGTCTTATCAAAAGTCATTTACAAAAAGCATCTTTTTATACTTTAATGTCACCTTAGTAATAGCTTGGGGAATGTGTTTACATTATATGTAAGAACTACAAACCATTTTCTAGTTATCAGCTTGATTTTAATATGTTTTATTCTCTTTTGCTACTATTGTAGATTTTAGACTTGAGTTTTGGCATATTTTTTCCTTTATAACAGGAAAATGTTTTCAGAGCTTATAGTAACAGTTTAATTAATAATAAAAGGCAGAAGGGACAGGAGACAATATGTTGACTACCAGCTGTATACAGAAGCTTTGTATATATTGCACGTATGTATACACACACACACATTTACCCTTCCCTTTTTAAACAGGTGAAATAGCTTAATGAGAAGTAACTTGCCTAATATTTTATGAGGTAGTTAATAGTACTGTTCAGATTAAACTGGATTATTCCTCAGACTATGTCTTAAAACAGTGCTACAGGTAGCAGTAATTCGTTGACTGGAATTAGCATTTATGATGACCTACAAACTAATCAGACCTCTTGAGTGCACACCAGTCTTAGGTGAGTAATGATTGCTTATTATAGAGGACTGTATATGTTTTAAATGAAAACTCAGGTTTGAAAATTTTATTTTAAAAAATCTTATGTTTTAAATGTGGCAGCAGAGTATAGACAAGAAAGTTAATTTCCAATTGGGAAAATCAGTCATTTTAGTCTGCTTAAATCCTTCAGTTGCAACTGAAAGATTTTATAATTAATAGTAATGTTAGAGCTCCTTCTAGTGGAAATTGTTTTATGTGCAACTATTATTTTTTTAAAAGCAAAATTGGTTTGATATTTTTACTGTTCTTACATGTATTTATAAATACCTTCTATTCAGAGTTTAACGAAAGCAATTTAAGTATAACTTGGTTTAGAGTTCCATAAACAAAAGTAAATGTACGCATTTAAGGAGATACATGCAATTTTCTCATTAGTTTATTCATATATTTGATTCATGAAATTTCCCCCCATTCTATTTCTTGCTCTTTCTTTTATATGAATATATAGTTGATTCTCATTATTTATGGTTAGTTATGTTCTATCAAATCTGCCTTGAACACCGTTAGCAAATACTGAGACATTTCTCCTAGAGGGAAATACGTATGTATGTGTATATACATACATGCAACACACACACACATAATATATGTAGTGTATATATATAATATAATACATACATACACATACATTTTGCATAGATTGTAATCTTAAAACTCCAAAATAATTCATTCTGGTAGATTTTCTTTTCTTTATTTTACAAAAGATAAGAGGAGATTTAGAAGTGTTAAGGGACTTGCCTGAGGCTGCCCCACTACAGGTGCTAGTGTTGGGATTCAAACTCCCTCCAACTGGCCCCAGGCCTGGAGCTTCTTCACTGCACTGCTGTATCCCCTGTCACTTCCATTCTCTGGTCATCTCTGAATGAGAGCTGAAACAGGGCGGAGAGTCACCTTATTCTATATGGTAACATGGGTGTTGGGTAACCCAAATTTTTTGCTGCTCTTCCATGTCACTAATGACCACAAATGCTTTGTGAGTATTGATTTTGGGGTACATATAAATTTTTGGGAGTTGGTAAATTTCCAAATATAGCGTCCACAGGTATTGAGGATTGACTATATTGTATTATTACTGATAAAAGTGATTGAAAGCCAGGCACAGTGGCTCACGCCTGTAATCCCAGCACTTTGGGAAGCTGAGGTGGGTGGATCGCCTGAACTTAGGAGTTCGAGACTGGCAACATGGTGAAACACTGTCTCTACAAAATGTATATATATGTAAAAATTAGCTGGCCATGGTGGTGAGCACCTGTGTTCCCAGCTACTCTGGAGGCTGAGGTAGGAGGATCAGTTGAGCCTATGAGGGGGAGGTTGCAGTAAGCTGAGATCACACCACCACACTCCAGCCTGGGTGACAAGAGTGAGACCTCATCTCCAAAAAAATAAATAAATAAAAGTGGAGAACAAGGTTATTTTGACCAGATGGGCACACAGGCACATGCCACCATGTCTGGCTAATTTTCTTTTGTATTTTTTGTAGAGGTAAGTTTTTGCCATGTTGCCCAGGCTGGTTTTGAACTCCTGAGCTCAGGCGGTCCACCCACCTCAGCCTCCCAAAGTGCTGAGATTACAGGCATGAGCCACCATGCTCAGCTTCCAGTCACTTACACTTCCCCTTGAGCTAGACTGTCCCCTCTCCACTGGTCACTGACAGAACTAGACAGCTATTTGTCTCTCCTCCTGATACGGGCTGCTTATGCACAGAGGAGGAGGAAAAATGCTCTTGTTCTGAGAACTCTCCAAGAGCAGATTTCTTTATAAATGTATGATATTTAGGTGTGTTCACTTCCTGCATTTAAGCAGCTCTCTGGGGAGACACAGTTATCATTAGGAAGGAGGGGATCTCATTTTTCCTCGGTCATGCCCTGTCTCCAGAAAAAACCTTCATTGTAACCATTACTCCCCTTTTTCCTACTTCTGCCTCTTCAAGTAACATACTGTATAGGACTTAATTTTCTTGAAGAAATAATTTGTAAGTTATACTAAGAGAATGAAGTAAGTTATTAATAAGAGCCTTTTCTCCAAGCTAGGCAACTTTATAAAGGGAATTATTAGTTTAGGTCAGCATTTTTTAAATGTTTTTGACTATGCTCTTAATAAAAAGTGGATTTTTTCATCAGATTCTTTGTATATACACATCCATAGATATAGTGCTCATATATGTGGATATGTGTATGTATGTGTTAGAAGCTAATGTTTTACAAAGCAGTATTTACCCTTTCTATATTCAGTGTACCCTACATTTCTTGTTCTATTAACAAAGTGCTGAATGGGGCTGACTGAAATGATTTCATTACCCTTGTGTTTTGAAGAACATTGATTTATGCCACTAAGGCAACAGATTCCAAATGATATTTTCATGGCTATATGTTTCTGAAAAATGTCCATCATTTCAAAATTGTATACATTATTTAAGGTTGCAGGTGGATTATTCTTTTGATTAAGTCTATATTATAACTATATACATGTAATTTTATGCCAGTTTAGTTTCTGGTGTACCTAATGCTGATTTCTGTCTCTTTCTCATCCTTTTAACAGTGACAAAGATCTGGAAATTAATGAAGAAGAACTGACTGGTTGTATTCTGAGAAAACTAGGTGAGACAAATATTTTAAATTGTTTTCTTAAGTTTTAAGCTGCAAGGCATCAGCAAATAAAGTGTCCTTGAGGGCTTATAAGTGCACAGTAGTTTTCTTCAAAATAGCTTTGAGAATATTCCCCTCAATGAATGAATATACTTTTAAGATAGGGATGTGTTACTTTTCCTGGTTAATTGGCAGTTGAGCAGTGGAGAGAATATATGACTTGTCTGTGGAAAGAGTCAGTGGTAGAATTGAGACTGTTCTTGCCCTTTCCAGTGAGAGATGCTATCTTGGGAGTGTTGGTTTGGGTGTGCCATTTTCATTTAGTTTATTACTGAATATGGAATGCCTGGCTATTTGTTGATGTGGTTGCTAGAATCTGAGATCTACTGAGTGTGGAGGATTTCAGAGAATCATCTTTTCCTTCTATCTCCAGATGGTGCTATATTATAGGGGAATATTAGGTCCTCAATATTTTATGACAATTATTTTATTAATACTCTGCCTTTGATTTAGTCTTTTCAGTCAGATAGTAGATGAAATATATTGCTATTTAAACATTAAACTGGTAACAAAAATTATGCTAACATGTATATTTAATAAATTATTTTCTAGATGGCAAGATCGTTTTACCAGGCAACTTTCTGTATTGTACATTCTATGGACGACCGTACAAGCTGCAAGTACTGCGAGTGAAAGGGGCAGATGGCATGACGTTGGGAGGACCTCAGAGTGACTCTGACACTGATGCCCAAAGAATGGCCTTTGAACAGTCCAGCATGGAAACCAGTAGCCTGGAGTTATCCTTACAGCTAAGCCAGTTAGATCTGGAGGATACCCGGATCCCAACATCAGGAAGTACTCCTTGTAAACCAGTTGATGACAGAATTACAAATAAAGCCAGTGATGTTTTGTTGGATGTTACACAGAGCCCTGGAGATGGCAGTGGACTTATGCTAGAGGAAGTCGCAGGTCTTAAATGTAGTTTTGAATCTGCCAGAGAAGGAAATGAGCAACTTGCCGAAGAAGAGGGACTGCTAAAGTTCAGCATAGGAGCAAAGTGCAATACTGATACTTTTTATTTTATTTCTTCAACGACAAGAATCAATTTTACAGAGATTGATAAAAATTCAAAAGAGCAAGACAACCAATTCAAAGTAACTTATGACATGATAGGAGGCTTAAGTAGTCAGCTGAAAGCAATTAGAGAGATAATTGAATTGCCCCTCAAACAACCTGAGCTTTTCAAGAGTTATGGTATGATATCTTCAGTTTATTGCACCCAAAAATGTTAAATTCAAATTAAAAGATAGTTGACACTTATCTAGTGATTGCTCATCCTCTTTTCCTGTTTTTATTTTCCGAGGGTGTGGTAGAAGATGTCAGTTGCTTTGGGAGATGCCAATTAAATGGGCCATTTTCTATGCCTTGGTATTTTTAGGTTGTAATGTGAATTAGTGACAGCCTTGTCTCTTCTAATAGCGTATTTCCACAATTACCTGTATTGGATCTAGAATAAGTATCTTGTCATGCTGGGCCATCTGTGATGACTGAAGAAATAAACCATTCAAATACTGTAGATAAAACTTCTTTGTTAGGAAATGTAACTGTCTACCCATCTTTTTGCACTGAAGCAGATAATTAAGGGAATGGGTTGACTCAGGAAGCTCAGGGCTTCTGCTGCCTTGTCATTGCCAAGATCCTTTGCATATATTTGGCGTGTCTGATCTCTCTGCTTTTTCCTTTCTCATGAATCATATATATACATACATGTATGTATATATATGTTTGTGTAAAATGAACCCTTAGATTGTCATTTTGCTAATACTTATGTACCTTTTATACTAGCAAACATATGTACTCTTCAAGATGGTTAGTTGGAAAAAAACTGGGATTGGTGGCTGCGCTATGTTTTTTGATCATTGAACTGTGTTGTGTGGGATGGGGCATTGCAACAATGTTGGTGTCCGGTTTTTTTTTTTTTTTTTTGGGACAGAGTCTTGCCGTGTCTCCCAGGCTGGAGTGCTGTGGCACGATCTCTGCTCACTGCAAGCTCCGCCTCCCGGGTTTACGCCATTCTCCTGCCTCAGCCTCCCGAGAAGCTGGGACTACAGGCGCCCACCACCACACCCGGCTAATTTTTTTGTGTTTTGTAGTAGAGACAGGGTTTCACCGTGTCGCCAGGATGGTCTTGATCTCCTGACCTCGTGATCCACCCGCCTCGGCCTCCCAAAGTGTTGGGATTACAGGCGTGAGCCACCGTGCCCGGCCTTTTTTTTTTTTTTTTTTTTAACCAACATACTTCCTCTGTTCTGTAGTCTACAGAGAGAGAAAGTCATTGCTGGGGATCAGTGTTTGGGCTAGTTAGTACATCTTTCTGGAGGGGGAGAAAAAACTCTTGACTCCTTGTGATGCAAGGTAAAGTTAAATTTTATAACTCATGTTTGAACTTCTTACATTTATAAGAAGCCTGGTGATGGTGAATCTAGTGTTTTCTACTTTTTCTTCCAGGAATTCCTGCCCCTAGAGGAGTGTTACTTTATGGTCCTCCAGGTACTGGAAAAACAATGATCGCCAGGGCTGTTGCTAATGAAGTTGGAGCCTATGTTTCTGTAATTAATGGTCCTGAAATTATAAGCAAGTAAGTACATGTTTTAATAGGGTAAATGTAATTTATTTCTAAAATGTGGTTTTTAGAAATGATTGTGTGGTATTCTGTCTGATATTTTGTACATTGAAATATTTTGCTTCTTAATAATTGGAAAATAATTTTTGAAACTAATTTTAAGTATTATAGAAATATTGAAAATTCAGATTAGCTTTTATAGACAAAGCTTTAAAAACAATAAGAAATGGTCTTTAAATACATTTTATTTGTTATAGATTCTATGGTGAGACTGAAGCAAAGTTACGTCAGATATTTGCTGAAGCCACTCTACGGTACTTTTTATTTTTAAATGTTTTGGAATTAATAATCAAGGCTATATTAGTCAAAGTGAGATAATAGCACCTTATACAAAGCATAAACAGTAGTACAAAAATAATAGTGATAGTAGTAGAAATAGATTATAGAGCTAATGAAATTCTATTTCCATCTAATCTTTAGAAGTTTGATAAATGTTATTAAATTACATGAAGTAGAAGAATTAAGACATAGCGCTTGATAAGTCATGTGACCTTGTTTGAGCATAGAAATCCATGACTTTCTTTGGGTGCTTAGGTGTATCTAATATGTTTAGTTTTTCTAGTAGACTGCATTATTGTAGCTCTTTATATTAGAACTTCATTATGTTATACTTTGCTTCAAAGGGACAAATCTTTTGCCCACTAAATAATGACTCTGGCTGGATATGGTGGCTCATGCCTGTAATACCATCACTTTGGGAGGCCAAAGCAGGAGGATTGCTTGAGCCCAGGAGTTTGAGACCAGCCTGGGTAACATAGTGGGACCCTGTCTGAAATTGGCTGGGCACGGTGGCTCACACCTATAATCCCAGCACTTTGGGAGGCCGAGGCAGGCGGATCACTTGAGGTCAGGAGTTAGAGTCCAGCCTGGCCAACATGGTGAAACCCTGTCTCTACTAAAAATATAAAAATTAGCCGGGTATGGTGGCAAGTGCTTGTAATCCCAGCTACTCGGGAGGCTGAGGCAGGAGAATCTCTTGAACCCGGGAGGCAGAGGTTGCAGTGAGCCGAGATTGTGCCATCACACTCCAGCCTGGGGGACAAGAGTGAGACTTTGTCTCAGAAAAAATAAATAAATAAAAATAATTAGCTGGGCATGGTAGCACATGCCTGTAGTCCCACCTACTAAGGAAGCTGAGGCAGGAGGATCACTGAACCTGGGAGATCAAGGCTGTAGTGAGCCATGATTTCACCGCTGCACTCCAGCCTGGGCAACACAGACCCCGTCTCAAAAACAAACAAACAAAAGCAAAACAGTGGTAGAGACACAGCTATATTACGAGTGATGTTACGTTACGTTTGACTAAGTTATAGACCAATATCCTAATACTCATTACAGTGTAACAATGAAACCTAAATTCCTGAACTCAAGTGATCCTCCCCCTGTAGCCTCCCAAATAGCTGGAACTATAGGTGAGCACCACCATGCCCAACTAATTTTTGTATTTTTTTTTTCTAGCAACAGGATCTTGCTATGTTGGTCAGGCTGGTCTTGAACTCCTGGGCTCAAGCCATTCTCCTGCCTCAGCCTCCCAAAATGCTGGCTGTCTTGGTGTTTAATATCGTAATTACTGCTCTTGAATCAAAAAACTCGCCATTTTTGAAGTTTATTTTTTCCCCCAATGATAGTAGATGAAATAAGCTGTTTGTAGTCCTAGTACTGTATTGAAAATTTTAAAACTAGTGGTACACCTGATTGTTTAGTATGCTTTTGTTGTTGCTGTGTTCATGGCAGTTGAGATTTCCTTCTGTGGGAGAATTCACATCTGTTTATGGGAGAATTGATCATCTTGCAAGTTTTTATTTTAATAGTTTAAAAATAACAGGGCATTTCTAGTTTATGTCTTTTGGTTTCAAACCTGCTCCAAGGGATAGCATCTCTAGCCTCAGCTTCTGAATTTGATCCAGTCATAACAACTTAATGGGCATTACTGGGGAGAGTTCTGAGCATTACTGGGAGAGTTCTTAAGAGACTCTCATCTCTTAAGCAGCATACTCTACTCAATTACCCGGCCTTTTAATGGAAGGCAGAGAGAATAGAATATGAAGTTAGTGAGTTAGTATTTTGGGCTAGAATGAATCTAAGGTTTTTTAGCTTAACATTATAATATCTTTGTAATATTAAGTAAATTCTAAATTTGATATGTTGCATTTCAATTAAAAAATTAAAACTAAGTAAAACTTAAAATCAAATATAGATGAGAGATTTTATTTTACTTGTTTGTTTTTAGACACCCATCAATTATTTTTATTGATGAGCTGGATGCACTTTGTCCGAAAAGAGAGGGGGCCCAGAATGAAGTGGAAAAAAGAGTTGTGGCTTCACTCTTAACACTGATGGATGGCATTGGTTCAGTAAGTATAGCACTAGTATTGATTCTGTGTAGGATTAATTCTTAATACATGTGTAGTGGCGAAACTATTGAATGTGTCAGTGTCTTTGGATATTTTAGGATAAAGGAAAAATATTGGCCATAGTAACTAGGGGAAAGATCTGTAAAATAATTTGTTTTAGTGGATTACTTAGTAACTGCTAGGACAACATCATAACCTGGCAGGTTTTTTCTAGCATATAAAATACTATACCATGATGGATTTATTTTGTGATAAATGCTATTAGCTTTAAAACTTGAAGCAAAGATCAGTAAGGAAGATTTAGCAGTTAAATTTTAGGGGATTTTATTTTATTATTTATTATTTATTATTATTATTTTTTGAGATTGAGTCTTGCCCTGTTATCCAGACTGGAGTGCAGTGGTGCACTCTCAGCTCACTGCAACCTCCGCCTTCCGGGTTCAAGCGATTCTCCTGCCGCAGCCTCCTGAGTAGCTGAGACTACAGGCGTGCACCATCACACCTGGCCAATTTTTTTTTAATCTTTTTAGTAGAGATGGGGTTTCACCATGTTGGCCAGGCTGGTCTCGAACTCCTGACCTTGTGATCTGCCCACCTCGGCCTCCCAAAGTGCTGGGATTGCAGGCGTGAGCCACTACATCTGGCCTGAGGGGTTTTTATTAAGAAATGTCATGAGTAAGTCTTATTACCCATGTACAAATGGACTCTTTCAAGGCTTTGTACTAGGGAAATGAAAGAAAGTGAGAATAATGGAAAACGTTTTGTACAACATTTAAAAAGAACTTATTCATATTACCAGATTCTCTGATAGGGGATACATTCTTTTATTAATAAAAACTATATGCTAATTATAGCAGGAATATTCATAGGACTAACAATAGGCATGAACAAAAATAAGACTCCTGATATCCATTAATTAGAAAAATACACTTTTTATGCTAGATTGTAAGTAAAGTTTTTAGAATCATAATATGTTAGAATCACAATAAATTTTAGAAATTATGTAGTATCAAGTCTCTTTTGCACATTAAAAAACTGGTCATTTAGAACTTTTTGTTTTTACTGCCTAGTGGCAGAAAGTAAACATGTGAAAATAATGTAAAGGTTTGCATCAAGTCACTTATATACTAATGTGTTAAAAATTTTAAGTCTGTAAGAGAAGGGTTGTCACCTGGTAGAGGCTGCCTGACCAACTGGTTCTCAGTCCTGGAACAGTACCTGGGAGTGATTGTCATGTCCCAGGTTTGATTCTCAGGTTATAAAGTTGGAGAATTCAGTGTTATTAGTATGTTGGAGATGATAGAGTTGTGAGGACAGACTGACCCATGATAAAAACACTTACAAGAGAATGATGTATAAAATAGTATGCTAGTTTGTCCATTTACAATCAGAGATGTGACTATTAAGCAGACCACATGTTTATTTTGTTTATTTTGTGTTCATTATGACCAGATGTTGTGTTTATTTTCACCTTGATGGCAAATATAGAAAGCTGTCTTATAATTACAAGGGTTCTTGGTAAGTAGGAAATCAGATGAAAGGCTTAGTGTTGGAGAATCTTAATTATTTCAATCTGCTCTCTTTCTCTGCCACTGGGATAAGCCTGTTGTAGTTTAGTGTTCTTGCCTTTGGGCAAGGAATGGAAATATGTGATACTGATGTTTTAGTCTGAATATATTTAAGGGTCTGTTTTTGTACTTCTAAACTTATAATTCATAGATTCACTGTAGTCCATGCATTGTCTGTTGGCACATTCAGTATAATTGATTAGGTTTGAGCTTTAAAAAAAATTTTTTTTAACATAAATTGCATTCCAGTTATGCTTGTCTCTGGGTTATCTGAATAGAATATTGGATAATTTCTACAGGTGGCTGATCAAGATCATAGTTCTTTATTATTTGTTTTTCCTAATTTCATTTTCAGAAAGTGAAAATACCTATATATTCAAGGGTGGCTGATACTTGGATATTGGTTATATTGTTGTCTCTATTTTCAGGAATTTAAAAATGTATCCATATTAAAAAAACAGTCTATAAGCAAAGACTTTTTAGATAACTTTCTATTAGAATCTTGTTCTATTTGAGTATTATATGTGTCACAATCCTGACTTCCAAGTAGGGGAAAAGGACTATTTAAAACAATTAAAACAATTATATGGTACAGTATTATATATGTGTTATTTTTTATGAGAATGATACAGTTAAGATGCGAGAAGTAAGAGAGATGTCATGGTAGATGAAGAGGTAAGTATTGGAAAACTTTCTACAGGAGGAAGCATTTAGGCTGAACATTGAAAATGTATAATAAAAGTAATAAATGTATAATAAAAATCTATTACTAATAAAAGTAATTGATAGGTAATGAAAGTGTAAGAAATAGGACTTAGTAGCCTGGACAGTTAGATGATTCATCCTTGTCTATACAGCCAGTGTGCGCCTCCTGCTTTTTTTTTCTAACTTTCAGAAAAATAAGAAATTTATTTTCATTTTATTTTGTTAGGAAGTAAGTGAAGGACAAGTGTTGGTTCTTGGGGCCACAAATCGCCCTCATGCCTTGGATGCTGCTCTCCGAAGACCTGGGCGATTTGATAAAGAGATTGAGATTGGAGTTCCCAATGCTCAGGACCGGCTAGATATTCTCCAGAAACTGCTTCGAAGGGTACCCCATTTGCTCACTGAGGCTGAGCTGCTGCAGCTGGCACATAGTGCTCATGGATACGTTGGAGCAGACTTGAAAATCTTGTGTAATGAAGCGGGTGAGTGTGGTTTGCTATGGTGAGTCTATATTGATGCACTTATCTCCAGTTTATTTACATACAAATAATTTATATTTTTACTGATTTCTTAATGAAAGTAGCTTTGTTTCTAATTATAAAATGTGTAATTTTTATTTGAAAAAAATTTTGTTGGAAAAACCTAGATGATTCAGAAAACTATTAAAAAGAAATAAAAATCACTCAATCCTACCTCTAAAGGATAACCACCATTGTAGTGTATACAGTCAGCCCTCCATATCCTTGGGCTCCGCATCTGAGGATTCAGCCAACTGTGGTCTGAAAATATTCAGAAACAAAAAAAGTTAAAACAGTAAAAAAAATATAAAAGTTTAAAAAATATAGTATCATAACTAAGTTGACCCTTGAACTATGAGGGCTTGAACTGCATGGGTCCACTTATATATGAATATTTTTCAATAAATATGTTGGAAAATTTTTTGGAGATTTGGAACAATTTGAAAAAGCTTTTTCTTTAGCTTTGTGTAAGAATATAGTACATAAGACACGTAACATAAAAAATATGGTTAATCAGCTGTTTATGTTATTGGCAAAGCTTCAGGTCAACAGTAGGCTATTAGTAGTTAGGTTTTGGGGGAGTCAGAAGTTATACATAGTTTTTCGACTGCACAGGGATTGGTATCCCTGACCCCCAAGTTGTTCAGGGGTAAACTATATTTACATAGCATTTACATGGGATCAGGTAAAAGTAATCTAGAGATTATTTAAATTATATGGGAGGATGTGTGTAGTCTATATGCAAATAGTGTGCCATTAACTGGCTTGAGCAGTCCTTAGATTTTGGTATCTTAGGGGTCCTGGAACCAATACTCCATCGATACTGAGGGATGACTGTATCCTACTAGACTTATCCAAAGTATATATACACATACACACACACATGCATGGACATATAATCAGATCAATTGGTGGCAGTATTGATGATGACAATATTTATTGATATATTGTGCTGTGCTGTGGAAATCAGGGAGAAGTGTAAACTGGAGAATCACAATTTTCCTTAAAATTGAGTGTCATGGCGGACTCCTATTAACTTCAGTAGGGATGGTACCAAGTTTGAGAGGCCAAAGAAGAGGCCCAGAGCCAATAAATGAAACTTAGGGCTTATTTGGCAGAACTTACTTACAGGGTGGTCCAGTGGTGGTGGGCTGGACAGGAGAACTGTAGTCACTTGCAAAAAGCATGCAGCTTGTATAGCATTTTCACTTAGCATCCTCCCCCCAGCAACTTCCACATGGCAACCTCCTTTCTTAAGTTATTGCTTTCAGGTGCATCTGCCATACACTCTGCACCAGTATACCCTTGTGTGGCCCTCACATTCTTATTCCATTCTGTCATGATATCCCTGGGGCCAGGTATGTGGAAGAGCATTGCAGCCAGATGCTGCAACAAAAAAGAATAACAAATATAATAACAATCATACTTCATAGAAAGTTTTTCAAGGACTTGGGAGTTGATTAAAGCACGTGGTTATAGGGTTTTAAGACTTAGATTCTGTGGTGGAAATATGGGTATTTAAGGCCTGCATGGCCTGGGTTACATCGTCAGAGTCATCAGGAATACATACACAACAGGTTTTAATAAATCTATAGGTTCTGCCCTTGTGGGGGAAGTTAAGATGTCCAGGGCCATGTGATTTTACAAAGAAGGGTGCATGACACACTATTTCTGTCTGCACTGCTGTCATCCACTCTAGCCCATCATCGTGTACAGCCTACCTACAGTGGGAGTGACATTAACTTGCTCCCTTACCAGGCGGAAAATATGCCATCTCATGTCGGTGGTGGGAAACTTGCTGCATGAGGTGCTGTTGTCACTGAAGGGAAATGGGTGAAGGTCACTATACCAAGTGTCGAAGTGGCCCCAGGCACTCATGTTAGCTGCCTCGGTGTGGCATGGCAGGCCCACAGTGGAGGAGAGGGGGAGCTCTCTGCAGACCCAGCAGTCTCTTCTCTTCTGGAGAGAGAGAACCATCTTCACCCAGTCCGCGGAGAGGTTTGTGGCACACCATCTGTGGGCAAAAGGTGAGATGTTTAGTGGGTATAAGAAAGGACAAGTCCTGGCCATTTAACAAGACATGGGGAGTTGTGTCATTCTGAGAGAGCACCACCCCTGGCAGCAGCCTGATGCCTGGTTTACAACACCAAATGGACTGGCCACCTCTGTAATGTGTTGCAGGAGGCCAGAGGAAGACAGTGGAGGTATAATGTTTCATGAGAGGATGTTCATCCCCTTGCACAAGGGAGGACTGGGATTCATTATTTTAGAATTACAGCGGAGAGTATGGTATAAAATAGGTGTGACCTGTATATCCTGTTCTAGGTCCTTCCACCATGGAGCAGAAAAACTGAACTATCGGGCTGGGTTTGCCATTTCCCAGAACCGTGTAATGATGTGCTCCCCAGTAGGTCGGTCCTGTGGCAAGGGCAATAGCAGGTTACTTTGTGTCCCAGGTTGGGGGCAAAGGTGGGCTGTTCCTTATCCTATCTACCTGGATCCTGATGGTGGTATCACATGCTTGTGTTAGAAGAGTACACACGATGGGGTGATGAGAATGTGCACGTTCATTCAGGTTGTGCACGGCTGCTGGTAAGCGGTGTGTCCACAGAGCCAATTCCTATAGGAGTTGTTTCAACAGCCCATTCATTTGTTCAGTCAGCCCCACTGCTGTAGGGTTGTACGGCAAGTGGAAATGCCAGTGGATATCTGGGGCCTCTGCCTATTCCTGTACTTTATATCTGGTAAAGTACGAGCCCTGGTCATTGTTAATTTGTCTTTTTTTTGAGATGGAGTTTTACTCTTGTTGTCCAGACTGGAGCGCAATGTTGCCATCTTGGCTCACTGCAACCTCCACCTCCCAAGTTCAAGCAATTCTCCTGCCTTAGCCTCCTGAGTAGCTGGAATTACAGATGTGCACCACCAAGCCTGGCTAATTTTTTGAATTTTTAGTAGAGACGGATTTCACCATGTTGGGCAGGCTGGTATCAAACTCCTGACCTCAGGTGATCTATCTGCCTTGCCCTCTCAAAGTGCTGGGATTACAGGCATGAGCCACTGCGCCTGGCCCATTGTTAATATTGATGGAGGCTCTGTAGGCTGCACAAATCTGTTCTGGTCGTTTTATGGTGGCGTGCTTGCTGGGATATACTCGCAGTAGCCCTGTGCAGGTTTCTGCACAAGTTAAGGTACAGTGGCAGCCATCCAATAGGGGCAAAGATCCTATGTAGTCTACCTGCCACCGTTGTGCTGGGCTCTGGCCCCGGGTGATCTTTCTGGTATGAGGTGGCAAGGGCCTGCGGTGTTCCTGTGCACAGGTAAGACGTTGCTGACAGATGTGTACTGTGTCTTTGTATCATAGTGGCAGCTCCAATTCTTTGCTATGGCCCAAAGGGTAAGTTGTCCCCTATGTCCTGTCTTCTTTTGTAACCAGTTGACCACATCGTCTGTGGGGACTCCCTTGAGGAGATGAATGCAGGTTAATTTGTCTGCCTGTTGATTTCCAGGTGGTGTAGATGCAGTGTGGGAATCCACATGGTAGATCATTTTATGCATCCCCCGGATGCAATGGGGAATGTCCCTCTACATGTCAGTACCCCAAAGGAGGTGACCTGCTACTGTCTAGTCCTGTGCTTCCCATTGTAGTAGCCACATGTTGAGTCCCTTTACATTGGATTAGGTAAAAGTAATGTAGAGATTATTTAAATTATATTGGAGGATGTACATAGGCTATATGCAAATACTGTGCCATTTTATATAAGAGGCTTGAGCTGTCCTTAGATTTTGGTATCTCAGGGGTCGTGGAACCAATACCCCATAGATACTAAGGGATGACTATATCCTATCAGACTTTTCCAAAGTACATACATACACACACACACACACACACACACACACACACACACACGTAATCAGATGCATTGGTGGCAGTATTGATGAAGACAATATTTATTGATACGTCGTGCTGTGGAAATCAGGAAGAAGTGTGTGCTGGAGAATCACAATTTTCCTTAAGGAATGTCATGCCGGATGCCTGTTAACTTCAGAGAACCCATCTGTGGGTACACAGGACTGTTGGGTCTGGCTTATAGAGGAGGACCATCCTGGCAGCTTGTAGCTCAGCTCATTGGCTGCTATGTCCTTGGTCTATATCCATCCAGATACTGTCAGTCGATGGCTGGATGGCCATGCCTGTTCAAGTGCAAGGATTGCCTCATGACAAGATGTTTGTGTACCAGGCCTGGTCAGACATTGGGCCCTGTCCATCCTGTATGAAGGAGAGCATCTAGTGAGGCTCAGCAGCTTCCCCTAAAGACTATGTGACAGTTGTTACATAGATGACAGGGCCAAGCACCGAATGGAGCTCTGAGCTTAAAAGGCTATTAATGTGCTCCTCTGTTGCAGGTGTGCATGCCATTTGGCCACAGTCTGTGTCTTGGCATACCCAGACTTCAGTTTCTGGAAGATACCCTTTAGCCAACCCGCTTTGGGGTACTGGGTGGGTACTAGCATTGGGACCCCCTTTGTAATGTCCTCTACTTGTTGTAAGGCATAATGTATAGCACAGAGTTGTTGTTCCATCACACTATGTCTAACTTCACCCCTTTTCTGTAGCTGAGATCAGAATCCTAAAGACATGTCTTTGCCTTTGCCACAGGCCTCACCCAAACCCCTCAGGGTAACTGGCTACATCTGGTTCACAAGGCTGTCTGCACCTGAACTCCCAACGCTTGTATTTATTTCACTATGACTTCAGCTGGTTCAAAGTCCTCATCCTCCTTGGTGGATTAGTCTCAGTGGGCCCCCTTCTTGACTAAACAGTATAGGGGTCTAAGGAGTTGGGCCACATGGGGAATAAAACGATGCCCATACCCTAGGAGTCCTAAGAAGGTTTATAGCTGCTTTGGTGTCACAGGATGTGAATAGGCCTGTACCCTATCCATAATGGCAGACTCAAGTATTTG